AACAGATAGCTTTCAAACCAATGATCTGTAGTGAATATATTGGAACAAATAGCTTTCAAACCAATGATCTGTAGTGAATATATTCAAACATATGGTCAAACACGCCACATTGTCACACATCCGCTCTGATGAAGACTTATACCAGCCTGCAAAGGGTTCATCATGCATCATCCCCGATGAACGGGCCATGTCACGAGATTTCAGCTCACCCCGTGACCAGTTGGTCCAAATTCCCCATGTACAACACCAACAACCTGGAAATGGGAACTTGGATTGGATTAACATGAACTTGGATTCCCCATGTACTTAAAATGGTCCAAATTCCCCTAGTTCCTTCCCCATGAACTTGGATTGGATTCCCAGTTTTCTGGATTTGCTTAAGGAACTGGGACAAGATTGTTGAACATATTCCGTGACTGGACTGTTCGCAACCTCCTACCCCTTGATTCGCAGTGAAACCTGCAGCTTGACAGTTGAAAGCCTCCAAAAACCGTTCCTTCACCTAGAACCGCTCCTTCACCTTCACCTTCATTCCGAACCTCTCCACCTCTGCACCCCACCCCTCCGCCCAACCGCGCGCAAAAGCGGGGAGACTCGTGCTTCTCAGCCACCGAGACAGAATCGACGCCATCCCTCAGGATGGAATGAGATCCGGGAGAAGGGCGATGGACAGCAGACTCTGCAGATGCAAACGTCGTTCGGAGACGTCGCGGACCGACGACGTCGTTCGGAGACGTTCGCGTCAGGTTGTGAAGCTGAAAATGATGGGGGTCTGACAGGTGGGGGGAGGAGGCATGTTGGTCGACAAAAGGTTGGTGACCGGGTGGTGGATCCTGATTTGCTATGCCAGTTGAGGGTGGAAACAAGACATCACTTGTCATGATCTCACGATCAGAACCACTGGCTTGTTACGGCTTGTTTCTTCCCCATGACCCATGTCTGGTGCTTACACCAGCTCATTTCCAACAAAATGGAATAGAATAGAAAACCGTCAATCATCAAACCATAGTTTTTTCCATTTCTGGTGTACCCACAGCGCCCCCTTTCTGGTGTGTATCTGGAAGATTGACCCAACGAGCTGGTTTCATGTATCGACGAGAATCATGTGGGCCATCATGTGGGCCATCTGTCATGACGTGGTGGAAAAGATAGCCAAAGTACGCTTGTTTGTTTTCTTCGGAGGTATAGATTCCCATGAATGAATGTGCTAAAACAAGATTGAGAGACAAATTGTGAAATCAATAAACTGTTTGAAGGTCTGTCGGTAAAGACAAATGCCCCTTTGCCCACCTGAAATTTGCTGCACTATCCAACACATACAGGGATACTCCTTCCAAAACAAACACTTGCCGAATGGATAACTGAGATCCCGCACATGGCTCAAGTGTAGACATGTGCTAATGCCCAGACTGCAGTTGTTTCATCTAAAGCCACAAGAACATATGCACCTATGTGTATCAATTTATCCCTTGCACTATATCCTTAGCGTAGCAAACAATAAAAGTCTCAACTCTCCCAAAAGAAATCATCTACTCAACGACATGGATATTGATGAATTCTAACATTGACATTGATGAATTTCACGGACCTGCTCAGTGTCCTTGAAAAGACCTGCTCAGACCTGTGGTGTGGCCATCCGGCCCGGCATGACCAGAATCTATTGAAACTGGAGCAAGGAGGAGCGGCAAAGGAGTAGCTGTTCTTTGCGTGTTGCCAGGAGGTCTTTCTAAGAAAGTAAGCACCACACAAGTCTATGTCATTACTATGTCATAGCCTATGGAGGATCAGTTTGTTTCAACGCCTTTGGCGTCACATTCACCCTATCTATGTCGTCGCGAAGGAGGTCACTCCATCTGTCTCGCCTATGAGCACAGCACTGCCTATGGGCCCCTCCTGGTCATTGACGGGTCATGGACGGGTCATTCATGGCCATTTTGGCCCCAGCATCTGTTTAAACATAGCATGACATCTTAGAGAGTCATATAGGTAGGGAAGAGTTCCTTTGCACGACGAGCATTTTTTTTGGGGGGGGGGGAGAGCGAGTTGAATCCGTGTCTGAACGAAACAAAACACATCCCGTAATGACGGACACCGAATGCACACCAAAGTTCCAAAGATGGTCGTAACTGCCTAGGATGTATGAACTGGGATGAAGACAATTGAATCGGTTACTCTGCTGGTTAGAGATTGAACAAAAGACCCGACAAAAGCCTCAAACATGTTGGGTTGATGGATGTTGATGGCCTCTTAGATCAGGGGCCATTGTCAAGCGATTCGCAACTTCACACAACGATTGAGCGACCTAGAAGCCTTTGTTACTAGTAGCTTCTTGTTACTAGTTGTAATGGCCTTTAACCTACTAGCGATGGCCTCCAACCTAGTAGCTTCTTGTCACTCGACCATTTTCAGACTCCGCAACTGCAAACTCGGCTGTACGGCCGTCGTAAGTGCCATCGTCTGCCTGAGACCACAGTTGGTCAGAACCTTCCAATCAACCGCTGGAATCTGGGAAGGATGTGAGCATAGGTGAGCATGGTTGAGCAAAGCACTTGGAACTTTTATATAAAATGTTTAAGCATCTTAAAGCTAAAACACACGAGTTAAAACCAAGAAAAGGATAACGTCACACTAGAATCATCCTTCTTCCGCATCCAACACTCACAAACCATGGGCAGTTCGTTCCATTCTCCTTCGTTTTCCCCTGAAAAGCGATCCTTCGCCTGGGCGAATCGGTTCGTTGGATCCGTTGGCCCCTTTCGGTGGTGCATTTGTTTGGCGCATGGAACGGTGTGATGTGACACACCCGGTGGCCAATGGTCGAATCGTTCTGCCAACGGTCGGTCATGGTCGGTCGTTCTGGACCGGAAGGGAGTTCAACTTGCCGTCCTACACCAGGCATTGGCCCGACTACCATTGAAGAAGCTCTGAACGCGAACTCAACTGGCAACAGAAGTAATTATGGAACACATATCTCTTCCTGTAGTTATCAAGAAACTGAGGAATCTAAGTGGTTGTTTGGTGGCCTGATGCCATGATTCCCCGTTTCAAAAAAAGAAACAACCCCGCCGGAATCCCGCTACCATGGTTAACATACGTCACGCAGTAGGAACCCCAAGAAGAAACCGACCAACTCACGAAGAACTAAGACGCTCTTTACTTAGAACTTTACTTCAATGGATTGGCTCAAGAGAAGATCTACAGGAAGCCATGGTTAGAACTAGAACCGCCAAACTATTGGGTTTTCCTCCTCCTAAGCACATTTCTAAGATCACTGGATTCCGGTGGATCCGCGTGAATAACGTGGAGGTCGCTCGCGTCGATCCTTCAAGAAGCACCGCCTTCATCTCTCGCCAGATCTCTGCGTTTAGGCCTCAGATCAATTGGGAGGTTCAAACAAACAAAATTGAGTTGATCGGGGGAAAGTATCCACCTGTTGTTCTGGTTTGTTGTGATAATCCCATGACTTTTGTTTGAAGAATATGACAGTCTGCGTTGTGTTTCTTTCTTTAAGAATAATAACTACAGTAGTCCAGCTGATTTCTGAGACAGACCTTAAAGGTGAGAGCAAAGACAGGTTTACGAGTACCATCACTTCCTGTGAGGTCAGCCTTGATCTTTGATATCTTGTGACATGGTTCACACCCAACATCTATATACTGCAGTAGCATCTAGCAGAATACTGCCTCTGCTACTCTGACATAAAGGTCCTCTCATCAAACCCACAGAGCAAAGGAAACATTGATATTCATGGATAAGAGTTACAGTTAAACAAAACCAAATAAGTCCGCTGCTAAGTATTGGACATCCATTGCTCATCACCAGGGTTTTGGCCAATGTGTTCCCTGCTAGTGGGTGACACTCCTGGGGATCACAACCCAGCTCAGTGAACCCTGAGAGTGAACATGGCTTGAATGTTGAGTTCTTATGTTCTTGATCCTCCCTGTCACCTGAGAGCACCCAGGGTGTTCAATTTGCTCTCGAGGATGGCACTAGGGAGAATCTGATAGCACTTCCACCCAAGCAAGTGATGGATTGGTGCCTCTTGCCACCTATGAATCCTGTGCACGATGATGGCCCGCAAAAAAGCGTGTAAAGCTTCCCAATCGTTCTGAGGCTGGAACACCTCCAAAGAGATAGGCTGAGCCGGCTTAGCCAATCTTTTTTAGACACAGTAGTCCAACTGGTCCCAAGAAGAACATCCCCAATATCCCCCATCTTACAAAGATGGATCCTCTCAAATCCTCTCAAGTCAAGGCTTAAACATCACTGAACATCACACCCGTGACATGGTTTGGACCCAGGCACCACCAATGCCGAAGCGGTGGCTGACTGGTACTTGAAGGTGGCCGGAAGGGACTTCACACGCTTGTAATACCTCTCCGGGCGAGGGAGGCCCGCGATTGGCCCGTCGCAGCAACGCGTGGGCCACGATTTTTGCGAGACGAATCCGGGCCGAACAGCCTTTTTTGTGCCGACAGAACGGGACCACCACGGAGTTCTTTAAACACGAACAAACACATCCGTTGCAGATTGATGGAGATTGAGTGATGAGTGGGCCGTTTGACGCCCAATGTTTTTTTTTCGTTTGCCGAAGGCTTAAAGGGGACACCGAAGGCAAGTTCCGGTCCGGAACGTCCGTTGCTGTTGAAAGGTGTTGTGGACGCTTTGCGTGCCAAAGTCCAGCATTTCGGCAGTCTAGCATAGTCCAGCACTCTCTACTTTGAACACTCCGACAACCTTAAGAGGAACAGTCAACCAGAGGTCAACCAGTGGGCAAGAGCATTCCTAGTCCATAGTCCGGAGGACAAGAACATTACGAAAGCTCTAAGCATCTCATGTTGACCTTGCGAAGCAATGCCTGCCTGACATTCACGTATTGTGACTTATAAGCATCTGTCTCAAGTCGCCTGGCCAAACGATGGATGCGGCTCTCCACCAAAATGAGACGGAACTTGGCATCCTTGTCCTGCGAAGATCGCTCGGGAACTTGGCACCCTGCCCTGAGGGAAGAGTTGAGAGATAGAAAGCGGTGGTTCTCCTTAGAGGCTTAGATCACCCTGTTTGCTTCATAGATAGATAGATAGATAGATAGGTAGACAGATAGATAGATTGGTACGTAGATAGGTAGGTAAATAGATAGATAGCTAGGTAGATAGATAGATTGATTGATAAATATATTAGAATATACACATGAAAATAATCCAATCACCATCTTGGTTTAAGGTGCTGTGTAAGGTTGTGTGTGTGTCACCTACTCTGAAGTGTTCCTTCATTGTGCAAGGGGACAACTCCAACATTATCCATCGGAACGAAGCGGTTCTTGCATTGCATTTCGCTACGGGCTGCTGCGAAAGTCGGGGCGTCAGCTTTCGGGGGGGGGCAAATTTCAATACAAGCTGCTGTATACACAGTTTTTAAGTTTCAGTGGGGGAAAATGTTGACTGAGAACACTCAGCTTCAAATTCCAAAGTCCATTCATCCCATCGACGTGGATCAAGAATGCAGTATGATTCATCTCATCTAGCTGGTTTCCTGCTGAAAGTGGAGACTGATCTTCTCAACAACCCAGCATTGAAGATGTCTTTCTCAGGTAGCACTTAGCACGGTAGCTCCACAAAAAAACATACAGCTAAGAGTCAAACATGCTATATAAATTGACCCCCGTCACTACTGTGAACGTGGAACATGACATTCCACCAGGATCTCAGCTGTATGTTCGTTCTTGTGCCCGATAAATGTTGGGCTCAACTCTCAGGGGTACCGTGTCGCGCGTCGTGGAAATGTGTGCGATGTGTGCGGTTCTTTCATTGCTGTGACTACATTGGTGCCGCGGAGCGTGGCAACGATCCTTCGAGGGTCCAGTTTAAAGATTCGTTGAATCTGGTGCTGCACTAGCAGTTGGATGACAAGTCAACGTCATCAGCGCCAATGGCGCCCAGGTTTTCAGGGCCTAGAAGCCAATGAATGGGGTGAAGAAGAGGAAGAAGAGGAGTCGCAGTCGAGTTCTAGACCACAGACCACTGGAACTGGAGCGTCCGAACACCGAAGCAAAGGGTCGACAGGTCCTCCTCCTAGCTATGATGGTAGCCGGGCAACAGGAGCATTCGAAGAGTATAGGCTCAGAGCGAAGCTCTGGCTGCATACCACCAATCTAGATCCAATAGCACGAGGTCCGAGGATGCTGCAAGCTCTTACCGGAAAAGCCTTCGAAGCTGCAAAGCACCTGATTGAAGATGACAACTGGTGTGGATCCCCGGATAATGGCATGGAGCTGATCCGATATTTGTCCAGACCCGAATGTTTTGGAAAGGAGGAATTGGAATCTCTCTGGAGCGCAATGACCAAGCTGTTCTACTCTGCACTTAGGCGTAGTGATGATGACCTTGCTGCATTCCGGACACGCTTTGAAGAAGCGGTCAGGAAAGTGCAGAAACACAAAGTTGAACTGCCCTCAGAAGCACTGGGATTCCTTTTTCTGAAGCAAGCCAAGGTAGATGAAGAGACCATGGAAAGACTCGTGACTTTAACAGGAGGCAGCCTCAAGCTGGAAGCAGTCATTGACGGCATGAGGAAGCTCAAGATGAGACTTCTCGACCCCGATGATGACAAAAAGCGTCATGTCTGGCTGCAGGATCAAGAACACACAGCAGCCGAACATGTACAAGAGGCTGATGTAGATGACGAGTTTCATGTAATCGAAGATGCTCTTCAGGATCTTGACTCAGAGGATCCTACTGCTGTCATCACTGAGGACGAGGCAAAAGATGTCTTGATGACATTGATTCGACAGAAGATTGCCCGTCCAGCTCAGTATAGCTATCGGCAAGTGCAGCAGACCAAGCAAGATCTTCGCAACAGTCGAGGATTTCGTTCGGTGAACACCGGTTCCGAGGGACGTCACCAGGGTGGAATTGTGAGACGTGACATCCAACAGTTGAAACAAATCACCAAGTGTCGTAATTGTGGTGCTGTTGGCCATTGGCACAAAGAGTGTCCCCACCCAAAGACGTCGAACGCATCCTCTTCAGTTGGAACCCAGGGTCCCAGTACAAAGAATGAGCCCAGACAAGGGTGGTGGTCCCTAGTTGAAGCAGTAGAACATGAACAGGGAGCCACCTCGTCGCGCGCACATGAATAGGAAGCACGCCCTTTGTCCGTATGGACTGCTTGCGTAGGAGACTCAACACGCAGGGACAAAGGGTTCAAACAATTTTCTCCACAAATGAGAAGCATTTTGCTTAGACGACACGTAATTCAGCAGCACTCTCAAAGGTTGGTACCCCTTGAGCCTAAAAGACTAGAGCGTAGTGTCGAGCAGTCCAATCGGGATTCGACTGTGAAGCCAGTTCTTTTCCAGCAGGCAATGGAACAAGTTGCCAACTTTTGTGTGTTGGACACCGGATGTCAAAGAGCTGCGGTAGGATCTCGCACGTTGCAGATGATCCAGGAGCAACTTCCCCAGGGCATGCAGGTGAGGTTTGAATCACAAAGTTTTGTGTTCAAAGGTGTTGGAGGGTTGACTCGTACTCATGAAGTAGCTGTGATTCCCATTTGTTTAGGTAGCAGACCTGCAGTCATTCGTGCAGCTGTTCTTCATGAACCAGCCGAAGCGCCCCTACTGCTTTCACTTCCAATCCTAAAGGCATTAGATGCTCAAGTGTGCCTGGGAAGCGCAAGCCTAGAATGCAAGGCCATTCAGGAGACAGTTAGACTCCACTATAACCACCGTGGTCAGCTCTGTGTGTCCCTTTTCCGATTCGACCAAATACCGCAAGACCGGGCATGCACCTGGAAGCCCAAAAAGCTGATCGGAGATGAGTGCACCATATTTCTGCAAGCATTTTGCCATGAAGAGTCACCTCAATACCGCGCACACACATTGAGCGAGATGGACAAAACGCACAGGAAACATCACAGTGTTAATGCCGAGGGTTTGCATTGCCAAGATGTCTTAGGAAAATATCCAGTCCTTCGTTCTTTTCACGGAGTTGCCAGAGAGAGTATTGAGTGTGAAATAGATGCATCACGATGTGAACCAGAGATCCCCAGTGAGAATTGCGGTTCAAAGCACAGTGCCGATTTCGCTTCCACTTTCGATCTCGACTGCGCAGATGGACGAGAGCCGCAAGAGAAGTTGTCCGGCATCAGCTCATCCGCAGGAGCCCAAGCGAGTCAGCGACTGGTCAAGGATGTTCAGTCGCCTCCAGATTCGCACACACTGCCAAGCAATGTGCCAAGTTGTAATGGGGCTGATGATGCCTCTTATGAGCATTCTGATTCGTTCGTTCATGATCGAGACTCAAGATCCAGAAGAAGAGATTCAGGCTCTCGAAGACACGATGGCTGTGATTCAGACCTTGGTGGACGAGAAAAAGGAAATTCAGAAACAGGAGAAGCTGGAGCGTCGCCGTCGACGACAGGAGCGACGCGAGGAACTTCAGCACGCACTCATGAAGTCCGAACAGATGAGCCGCTCCTCCAAGTCGAGTCACAGCTTCCTCTTGGTGGAAGACACCAGTCCATCCATGCAGTTCAAAGACAAGAGCAAGAAGGAAAAAAAGAATCGGTCCGACAAGAAAGAGCAGATGCCCAGTGGAGTTCCACTGGAGGACATGAATCCAGAGGACGAAGCTCAGGGACTGCCATTGAACCATTGCTTTTGCGGACTCCCCGTGACCACTTATGTGAGTCGCACAGCTGGAGCAAACTTCCTCCGGCAGTTCAACCGTTGTCCAAAGCAGATTGGAAAGCAATGCCAATTCTTTCAATGGATCGAGCCTCCGAAATCGACTCAACACCAAAAGCTCTTTCGAGAGCGAGAGATGCCAACTGGACCGGGCAGGAACGAAAAGACCAAATCGAAGGCCAGCTCAAGCAAGCAGAGCAGATCTATCAGCAGCTCCAGTTCGACGTCAAGCAGCGACTCAGAGCTGATGCCAGAGTCAAAGGCAGCTGCTGGGTACCCATCCCGCCGGCCTCCATGTCAGCACGACTGGAGCCGCAAGGGAACAAATGGACATCAGCAGATGCTCACTTGCAAGATCTGTGGCCGCAGGGAAGTCACCAAGTACTCGACCGGCAAAGTGACGGTCACACAAGTGGACGACACTCCGAGCCCGAATCGGCGGAAGTAGGTTCAGCCGTGCAAGAGGAGACACTTCGCCCAGGTGTTCGAAAACGAATCTTAGGATTGATCAAGGCTAGAATTGACGAACTAGAGTCAACAGAAAGCAGTAGGGAGAACAATCAAGACTCTGTTGAGGAATATGTTCATCTTGACCCTACTGATGTTCAGAGTGTTTTGCATCTGCATTTGATTGGCGAAGTGTTCAGCTCACCGCGATTCACCGATCGTGCTTCAAGACATGGATTGCAAGCCGGACGTGCGTATGATTTGAAGTTAGGAGACAACTTCCTTTCCTCATGTGAACGCAGGGACTGTTTGAAACATTTGCAAGATAACAAGTACGGCTTTGTTGCGGTTTCCGTGCCATGCCACATGTTTAGCATGCTTCAGTATTTGGCACTTGGTAGGAATCATCAGCAATGTTTAGCTGACCCTGTCTTCGCACAGAAGTGGAAAGAAGCAATGACTCTTCTAACGTTCGGTACGCTTGTTTGTCATGTGCAACAGCAACACGGAGGTTGTTATCTGTTTGAACATCCATGGTCTGCCAAGTCATGGCAGCAGAAGTGCGTTGCAAAACTGTTGAACTCTCCAGGAGCCATGCTGATTCGAACTGATCAGTGTGTCTTTGGCCAGTCCGATGCACAAGGAAGTCCAATCCGCAAGCGCACTGGATTCATCACAAACAACTCACAGATTGCCAAGACATTACGTAGAGATTGCCCCGCCAATCACTCACGCGTACATTGCATAGGACGGAGTTGTGGCCAATCTCGAGCGACGATCGCAGCGCGATATCCAAACAAGATGGTGGACGCTGTCTTGAGTGCATATAAGCGATCGATCTCGTCACTGACCAAACACGACAACCTATTGTTTGAATGTCACCATAGACGAATCAAAGAACCAATGACAGTTTATAGTCTCGGTACACCAGTTGATCCAGACGAGTCAAGTTCGTTGATTTTTATGGGTTGTCGGGTCAGTCAGGGCGGTTGCAAGACAGCAGCAGATCCAGTACCCGAAAGCATTTTTGCCGCCGAACCAGTAGATCTCGACCCAAGTGACATTGGGGAAGCCATCGATCTTGAAGCAGAAGAAGACGACGAGCAGCCAGGTGTAGATGATATCGAAGAACAACCGACTTCCCAAGAAATAAAGGAAGAAATAGCTAATATGCCAGCAAGACGTCGTCAGAGTCTAATGCATGAGATCCAGAAGGTTCATCGAGGTCTCGGGCATCCGTGTTTATCTAACTTGCTTCGAATCCTCAACCATGGTAAAGCTTCTCCTCTGATCATAGCTCTTGCAAAGGAGTTTAAGTGTTCCATGTGTATTGAAAACAAACAGCCAAGACCATGGAGAAGGGCCGCACCGCCTCGACAACTTGAGTTCAATCAAGTGGTAGGCGTCGATACACTCACGCTGAGGCATTTTGACCGGAGCATTCACTGTTTGAACATTGTCTGTTGGGGCACGCGATATCAGATGATCATCCCACTCGAAAGCAAACATGCCATAAGTATACGTAAGGCATATCGATTGTGGATAAAGATGTTCGGGGCACCACACGTGATCCACCCGGATCTCGGAAAAGAGTTCCAAGCAGAATTTGCGAGCAGGTGCGCTACAGATGGTTCTAACATGTTGCCATCAAGCTCCAACGCAAGCAGCAATCACTGAAAGGGAAGGGGGAAGCTTTAAAACGATCTTTGCAAAGACCAGTCTTGAATATGGCAAAGTAGAAGATCAGGAAGAACTACATGAACTAATAGACATCTCATGTATGATGAAAAACAGACTGACGCACAGAGGAGGCTATAGTGCCATCCAGAGGGTTTTTGGGGTCACACCATGTATCCCTGGAGAAATCATGAGGGGAGATCACAACAATCTGCATCACATGGCCGAGATCACTGCAGGTGATGTAATTCTACAAAAGCAAGAAGCAATGCGTCTTGCGGCAGGCCGTGCATTCTTTGCACAAGAGTGCAGTTCCGCAATTCGCAGAGCACTCCACAGTGGACCTCGTGTCAGCCCAGAATTTTCGGTAGGCCAAACTGTTTATTTCTGGTGCAGCAGTACTCAACAGAAGGTTAGGCATAAAAACTCAGCGTCACGCCGACCCAACTACATGCGCTGGACTGGACCAGCAAGTGTGATCGCTATGCAACTTCCAACAACGCTGTTTCTGAACTTTCAAGGCCGTCTTGTTAAGGCAGCGCCAGAACAGTGCAGAATGTGCAGCGACGATGAGGACGTTGCGTGCAGCAGCTTGCTTCAGAAGCTTTGCCGTGTGCGAGATAGCCTTAAAAGTAACAAGATTGGAGGAATGTTGGATATTACCGGGTTAGACCATCCACCAAGCAGTCCCACGTCAAGAGTAGGAGTAGACCCTTATGAAGATCACCCCACCAATAAGCGCAGGGCTTTTGGCAAACAACCACCATCCAAGAAAAGCAAAAGTAAGGGTTTTCAGGGACTCAAAAGGAAACAAGATGCTATTGATCTAGAGGAATCAGATGTTGACTCAACAGGTGACTCCAAAAGAAAGTGCAACGAAGAAAGTCAAGAAATTGATTTTGACGACCTTTATTTGCACGAAGTTTTGGAAGATCCTCAAGTTCAACAAAACCTCATGCAGGAAGAAACAGAAAACTATGTTTTTATGATAGATCGAGAGCCAAACGAAACGAGACTCACAAGTGTTCGCAATTGCTGGAGTATGCAGAGCCAGACGAAAGAGCTTCGACTGCGAGACTTGGATGAGCATGATCGCGCCTTGTTCATCAAAGCGATTCGAAAAGAGTGGGAAACAAATCTCAACGCTGGAGCTATCGAAGTGATACCTCCTATGGAGGCCTCTAAGATCCGTCAAACACAGTCACATCGAATCATGCAAAGTCGCTTACTTCATGTGGCAAAACCCATTGATGATTTGGAAAACTTCGATCCAGATGAGATTTTGCATTATGGTCGAGACAACCAACCCAGAAAGGCAAAGTCCCGATGGATCGTGAGGGGAGACCGTGACCCAGATGTGTTCCAAGTGGAAACCACTGCACCCGTGATAGCTCGTGACACCATGTTCATTGGACTCCAACTGATTGCAAGCTTTGGGTGGACGGTCTTCTTTGCAGATTTCTCGCAAGCATTTATGCAGGGAGGAGAGCTCATCCGCAACGAGCCACTGTTCTGTGAGATTCCAGTGCATGAACTGCCAGACGTTGAACCAGGTTCATTAGTTGCAGTTAAGAAAACCGTATATGGACTGACAGATGCACCGTCAGCATGGAACAGACACTTAGATAAAGCACTGCAGGGCCTCGGGTATCGACCATCGATACTAGATCCATGTTTGTATACACTACATGTTCAGGAACAATTTCATGGTCTCATCATGGTTGCAACAGACGACTTGATTCACGCAGGTGGTAGGGAACATGGCACACGAATGGAATCACTAAGACAACGGTTCAGATTCGGTAAATGGGAACATACTCAGGGACGGTTTTGTGGAAAAGACATGTTTCAAAAGTCAGACAAGACTATTGAGGTCAGCCAGGCGTATTATGTTGACGCAAAATGCAGAGATAAGATTCCAATACCTAAGGGTCTTGGTGATGAAGAGCCATGTAGTCCAGAACAGATCAAAGAACTAAGGTCTAAAGTAGGAGCACTTAGTTGGATTGCAAAAGAAACGCGTGTCGATCTGGCAGGAGCTGTTGCATTGCTAATGCAGGCATTTCCGAATCCGTGCGTTCGCGATCTCAAGAACTGCAATAAGATACTAAAGGAAGCAGTAATGTACAAGGATTTAAAAATCCGTATCTCTCCAATAGAGCCAGAAGACTTGTGCATTGTCGTTACCAGCGACGCAGCTTGGGGAAACGCTCTAGATGAAAACAAACAAAGTGAAAAGAGTCAAGCTGGCTACCTGGTGATGACAGCAAGCCGCGCCATGCTTCAAGGAAAGCAAGCTTCCTTTTCGATCTTGGGGTGGAAGAGTCACACTTTAAAGAGAAGAACTGTATCAACACTCGGAGCAGAAACACAAGCCATTGTAGAAAGTGCTTCAGTATCGTGTTGGTATAGATACATTTTTCTTGAGTGTATGAACCCTAAGTTCAAAGCAACTCTTTCAGCAAACTGGGAGACAGGGATTGATAGCATGGAATTTGGCCTGGTCACTGACGCAAAGTCTGTTTTCGACGCTCTATCCAGACCAAGTGCAATCTCAGCAACAGACAAGAGGACATGCATTGACTTGTCCATCATTCGAGAATTTCTTCGAAGGAATAATGGATGTGTTCGATGGATTGACGGTAGATATCAATTGGCAGATTCGCTTACCAAAGTGATGCCATCAGATTTTCTCAGGTCAGTAATGAAACTAGGACATTACCAACTACATGAAGAGTACAATACTCTTGCCTTACGAAGAGAAGCTCGAAAGGATCGAGAACAACGCAAAGCAAGGTTGCAACAAGAACGAAAAGAAAGTTAGAGGAATGTGAACGTGGAACATGACATTCCACCAGGATCTCAGCTGTATGTTCGTTCTTGCGCCCGATAAATGTTGGGCTCAACTCTCAGGGGTACCGTGTCGCGCGTCGTGGAAATGTGTGCGATGTGTGCGGTTCTTTCATTGCTGTGACTACAACTACCCATTAGCAAATGATCACTGCAGAGTCGGGTCTTTAGGTCGTAAGATCCTGCGAATGTCTTTCGTATGTTCTTGACGAGTCCGCGAATCCATGTCGTTCCTGCTCGGTCCCGGGACAGCCGGAGCCTTGCGATTCTTGTCCAAATGCTTACGGATGGACACCGCTTTCTTGATCAAGAAGTACAAATCCTGAACGCTATGCAGAATGGGGATTCTGAGAAGATGCAATCAATGGCGGAGTTCTTTATAGAGTCTTCCTCAAAAAATAACCCCTTTGTTTCATTGCTAGACCCAATGCAGCAGTTCTAGTTGTCATCTTCTCGACTGCTTCTCGGCAACTTGTTCGCTTTCAAACCAACTTGCCTCTCTTATAGCACTCCACAAGGAAGGGATATATGATTATGTAAATAAAAAACTGGTTGTTGGGAACTGAAACCAATGGGTTTGGTGGAGAATCCAAAAAAAGACACTTTGTTGTGCATTGTTTGGTCAATAGAGGCTTGAGGCTAGTTGGGACTTAGACTTGACTTATAACTTTTCTTAGACATTGCTTCCAAGGATGTCATATTAACGTCTTCGATGTCTTCCGGAGGCCAAACCAGCACAGTATACCGAGTAGGCACCTGGGACCTCAGTCTTGCACTCGCACAAACTCCTGACAACATGTTGGATGAACTTGGCTTTGCGTGGTGACCCACTTGGTGAAACGTCGACCCCCCACCCTCCGTACGCCCTCCACACAACACAACGACCCGCTCCGAACGGGTTTTCTCACCCCAAAGGACCAAAGGACCGCACGGAGCAGGTCAAATTCGATACGAGAAAGGAGATCGATACGAGACCGATACGTCTGACGTCTGACGTATCCCGTGAACGCATTATCCCGTGAACGCATGATTTCAAGCGATGCCAATTCTTTGGGCCCAATTCTTTTGCGGAGCGGATGGATTGAGGGAGACGTGCAACACTTCGACCGGCTTGACGAAACGGTCAAGCTTATGAACCCCCTTCGGCCTCCGGCAGGGTGGGTGCCACTCCATTGGTCCTCGGAACCAGCCGGTTTTTCGGTGGTTCTCCGTCAAACGTGGTTCGAAGCCGAACGGATGGCCGGGTGGCTCACACGGGTCGCTAAAGTGTTGTAGTGAACGAGTCGCGTGGCGGGCTTTCTGAATTCACCGGGGGCGGGAGGAACCAACATGAACCAACTGTATCTTTGCCTTCGCAACAAAGAAAACCATAAGGTGTGTGTGTTTTTTGTGATGTAGACTTCCAGAATGTATGGGACATCGTTTCTATCTCTTTGGACACCACATGGCACCACTATCATGATGTCATGTAGACCGGACCGGATGGTCAAACCGCTTACCGTCTCTCCGGTTCGTGGGTCCGGTGATCGGGTCCTGAGCGCAGTGGTGAGATGTGTGACATCCACTCCCCAGACTGAGATGTCAGAACAAACCAAAGAGGACATTCTCTGTGGATGTCAGAACCGGGTTTGGAGTGGTGAGATGTCAGAACCGGCAGATTCCCCTCCTGTGGAATTCGCCTGCTTTTCACCAACTGGTGCTTCACCGGACGGGGGACCTACGCACCGGTTCCAGGTTTTCATAGAAGGACGGACCGAAAAGAGACGGGCCTTGGCCGAGCCCCACCGACCCGGGTGCTGGGACTTCAGAATCCGCAGAATGTGGTTGCCGGTCACGGTCTTCACCTGACGGCAGGTCGATGCAGGTCGTCTGTCTGGCGACCTAAGAGAACAAGGAGCCAGGACCCCCAACATAGCTTCAGAATCAATCTATCAATAGGATTCCCGTCCGAAATCTGGGATGTTTGGATCAATGTGGCATCACCAAGAAGAAATATTATGTCTGGATGAACTTTCCCACTTGGATCGCTTGCATCTTAGCTAGCCATGGTCAGCCGAACCGTTCCCCGGCCTGAGGCACACCGAAGCTGTCCCTGAGCAGCGAAAGGGTGAAGGGTCACCGCAACCAACACAGGTCTAAATACGCTTTGGACGAGGGATTCCAGATCTATGTCCTGTTGTTGTAGTAGTCTGATTTATTGTATATGATATATATATATACAAAAATGGTAGTGGGTGGAGGTGCTGGAGGTGGAGGTTGACGACAGGACTTCTTCTAGATCTCCCTTTCGGAGTACGAATTCTACACGTGCATCTTTTGCCCTCGACGAATCCTTGGAGGGGACGCGGGACGCTGCCAGACTCACCGGCACGACTCACCGGATTGGCCATTGGGTGTCACCACAGAGTCTTATCATTGAAACAGTTGTACGCCATCCCCCTTTCGAACCGGTCAGACTCGCTTCCTGACTGGTGTCAGCCCGCCCGGAAACAGCTGCGGACTTCGTTTGCTGGTCAATGGTAGTTGTGGTAGTTGCATGTCCACCAGAAAGGGCAGTGAGCATGAGAGACAATTGTTATCGATTGTATAGTGTGTATGTTTTATGTTGTGTTTTGTATTTGCGTATCAATGAACGTTATACATTGATGCAGTATCAATGTGTGCGGCTTACATTGTCTTCTGTCTAAGGAAAGTGGCATATTAACTCTGCTAGAAAACTGCTCAGAGAGCAGCCGTTTGCTACAACAAGTCAAGGAAGACTCTGTCCTTTTTCTCGGTGGCTTCCAACAATGAATCTAGTGATCGCGCAAAACGGTGACACGTATGAAACTATCCTGTCTGTCTTGGCACCCTTCCATACCTTCTTACAAAAGCGCATGCACGTGTTTGGTCCAGGCAAAGGAGTGTTGACATACCTCCGCAAATATACTCGATTTTTGTTTCAAATTACTGTAAGTGAGGCGGGTGGGCCACCGTCTCATGCTGCAAATGTGGCGCCCAGGTCCTCACCTCAAAGTGACGCCAATCTGAGAGGGAGTCAGCCTCAGCCCGTGGAGGCGGGGTGACCGTCCAGACCCGCACAGCGGACCGTCCAGGGCCCTTGCGAAGTGAAGGAGGCCCTTGGGTATAGCCCTTGTGGTACCGAAGTAGATGTGCGTTGAAATAAAGCATCACACTATGGTACCGTTGAGTGTGCTTTGAAAGCGGGCGAACAAGTGACCGCAGCAGCATGAGCACTTCCCCTGCGAAAAGGCATCGGAAGCTTGCTTAATGAGTGATGGGACCCTGGAGCAAAGACCACAACATCCACTCGACATCAAATAAACCACGGTAGTGAAACATGCTCGACCCATGCCCTTCTTTTCATGTATGGCAGTGGATCAAAACCAGACTTTGGTCGAGCTAATTACCTGGAAGGTTGAGCTACACGGTATTGAGGCTCCAAGTTTTGATCCATCCCCACAAAGTTCGGCGAAACCCTCTTCGACCTCAGCCATCCAACTGCCTCAAACCGAAACCGAAAGGGTCGCCTCGTTCCACCGCAGCTCTGTTACCACCCGAGCGACCCTTTCTTCGCGAGCTTGCAGATGTGATCCACCACATCCTCGCGACCGAACCGACGGGGGAACGGAGAGTGGTCTTGTAATTCTTCCAGTCCCATGGATGGTCTGGGAATGTAAACATACTCGGATGTCACATGGAGTGATAGGCTATCCCGGATCCACAGACCCAGGTACCTTCTCAAACGATACTTAGGATCCCTAGGCTATGGTAAAATGGATTTGTTTCACCTTGAGATCAGTTTGCGTCCAGACTGTCTGCGCCCTCCTGGACGGTTCGAACCGGACGAAGGACGTCACGACCGAACGAAGGATGTCGTTGTCCGTCCTCCTTTAAATTATGTCGACAGTCATGATTCCTCCTGTTTCTTCTTGCGTGTTCTTCCTTTGCTTCTTCTACCTTCTTGTTGGTCCCTTTCTTGTTCTTGTTTCTGCTTCTTCTTGTTTCTGCTTCTGCTTCTGCTCCTGCTCCTGCTTCTGCTTCTGTTTATTGTCATTATTATCCTTTGTCTTAGTTTCATGTCTGATTCTTCTATTGCTATCCATAATCTTATGTGCTATGTTTGTTGAAACACATACGGTCAGTACTGTATCATGCAAGTCAATATAAGTTGGACATTCCGTGTGGAATGAGCAACAACGAGTTAGCTCCAAGCTCTAAGCTCTACTGCAGTAGTGAACCGGCAAAGGAGAAGTTAGAAGCTTTACAAAGCCACACACGTAGCAATCGTGTACAAACAACTCAGAAGAACCTGTGGCAACCTCCGATGTTTAATCATGCTTACTGAGGCTTTACTGTTGCCCTCCCTTCAAGTTCCAGCCTTGCCACCAAGCCCTGCACAGTCATGCGTGGCTGTCAGACGGACAAACAAACCAAGCAAACGCCCAGGACCCTTCAAGACACGGGACCAAAGGGAACCAAACCTCCAAAAACCTATGAGTCTCACCACAACCCAGGCCAAATCGCAATTCCAAGAAGGGTGTTCGCTCGGTTGGTTGACTCTGGTCAACTCCTCCGACTTCATCTTCAGCCATGTCGGTGGGGTGCGCTTGTAGGGGATCGCGGAGGAGGCCTTGGTGGCACGATGTAACTCGCCCCCGGAGGAACGAGCCGGGAGCAGTGCCGGAGGAAACCAGACGGAAGGAGGGAGCCGTTGGAAGTTCTGCACGGTCGTTGACCAATAAGTTCTGCTGAGTATTTCGATGGTATATCTAAGATTATCTAAGGGTACTGGTGTACGACTCCAATTTTCGGTGTCCTATTTGGGTGGTCTCAGAATGGGGTTTCGGGTGAAAGGTTCGTAGCGACACCCGTGTTGACACCCGTTGAGCGCTCTTTCAACGGATCCTAAACCATTCCCAATATGGAACGTTGTCTAAGTTCGTCTAAAGAGTTAAGCCAAGAATTACATTATTTTGTCCTTCCTGGGTCACCAATGGAAGGTTCTGTACTACGTACTCATGGATCTCCATTGGGCACCCCTTGGAAGGTCCAGGTAGTTGTATTGTTTGGACAAGGGTCACTCAGAAACGGGTCAAGTACCAGGTCATCTGGTCATCGCATCCATGTCCAGCTGTGTTCGGACCCTCTGAGATGGTCCTCTTCCAGAGATGACCCGGATGGTTGGACTTCCAGAAGCCAAACCTCTGACAAAAATATGTGATTGCCTTGCCTCTATACTCAACTGGCTGTGGGTCAGGCCCCCTGGAGGTCGGGAAAGTGCGGTATATACACCACCTCATGTCCCACACGATAAGTCTTCTCCCACCCACACGACGACGGTGTGCAGCATATTGCAGCTATTCGCAGAAACGCTCTTCGATGTGTTGTGCAACACTCATCAGTCACGGCTCGCGTGTCGACCAATTCTACCTAACCCCGTTGAAACTGTGCAAACCTTGCAGGCATACATATCCTTGCTTTAGATGCGAACCTGCCTTATCATACGAATCACCCGTTACAGATCTCGATGCTCCCACCATGTGTCCTATTCCAATGGGTGCAAGAACAGCAATTTTCTGCGAGAGAACAATTGCAAGAGAAAGTCCGCCGTTTTCAAAGCGCCAAGCGATCTCTTTCAGAAATAGTGATTCCCGCTTTGCCATGAATACGCAGTAGATATGCCACAAGCTGATTCGTAGGTCATTCCGCAATTCATGCATATGTTTTCTCGTATGTCTAGGTGCACATGGCTCATGATTTAGCATAGCGTATGTGCTAATTCATGCGCATTGCACGAGAACACGCAGGTGCTCATCTCCCCTACCACACCCGCCCTCATTGGGCTTGCCGCAAGAGCGAGCGATGCCTGCTTAACCCACCAGGTGATTGACCTCCCTTGTAGTCTATTCTGTTCATGTTCGATGGTCAACCAAGGTCTCCCGGTTTTGATTTGACCCATAGCCACATGTCCCCGTCGTCATGTCCATTCATTTCCCATAGTAGATGGTGAAACTGTGAGGCAACTCTTTGAGGAATGAACCAAAACACAGTTTCACCATCTACTATGAGCTCAAGTAGTTTCATCATCTTTCTTTCACCGTCTACTATGTGTTTTTGTTCCATATCCACCCTGAGAAAAAAACAAAGTAAGAAGTAACTGTTCATCTTTACAACTGTACGGCCGGCTCGCCGATAGAGACAAGTCTCAAGAGGCTCAAGCCGTTTGGCTACAGAATCTATGAATCATCTTCCTCCTAGACGACCGCCGCAAGTCACTCGGTACCTCGGTCTGGCGCGCCCAGAGGGCGCTCGAGACCGGTTGGGTGCATCCCAAGGAGCAATACCTTTGCCCTTGCCGTACATGCCTCGGAACTCGCGGGTTGAACCGAACTCTGCACCCCCGGGTTGTGAGAAAAGACATGCCGAGAGGTACGGTACGAGGGCTACGAGGGATGCCGTAGATCGACGGTTTTCAAACCCATTGAAACCGCTACCAGAACTCGCTCGAGAGCCATGAGACATCATGAGACCAGGAGACGACGAGAGCCCTATAAAACGGACCGTAATGGACCGGAATGGGTTCCACTGGGAATCCTTTCCGAATTGGGGCGAACCCGACGGTGAAAAGCGCGTGCATGACATCCAAAGACATCCGAGTTTGAAGTTCATCCATACCAATTGTTCTGCTCTGTTTTTCATCCACCCAATTGACCAAATATTGAGACTGCTCGGTCCACGGCATCGGTTGAGCACACGATCTGAGCTTCCAACGTCCCATGATTGCAAATGAAGACCTGGAGAATGGGCTCATGGTCCAGGAAATGTCGGCATGGAACTGCACCCTAGAACTGCGCTATCTACTAAATCTGCCAGGAAGCTCACTAGTAGGGTTTGGGGGGCCATTGACATTTGTATACGATCATGATCCTTCATTCGCTTCTTCGCCTTTGCTGACAAAACCGAAACAAGCATCGCTTCTTCCAGTCACAACGTGCCCGGGGAGAAAACTAGACCCTTCCGCAATCTTTCCACGGGCAAAGGTGGTTCAAACTCCAATTTCACCCGGGTTCTTCCTCCATCTGAGGTTCCGTTTCGCTGGTTTCGTGGTCAGGTGCGAAACCATTGGTGAGCCAAGTCCTCCCGCTTTGGTCTGGGTCTGAGTGGGCATCTGGGGACCCTGGGGACCAAACACTCGCCATAGGCGTCTTAGACCGTGGTGGCAACAAAAAAACAGCAGTTAAGGCACCATAAGGGACCTATATGTTTAGACTGCTGTGGCGCAAGTTTCGAAGAAAAATAGCTGGTACATGCTGGACATGCATGATACCCATCTCTCATCTCAGCCACCGCTGGCCTGGAGAGTCTTTGCGCCGTCCGAGCAGAGTCTTTGAGCCGTCTGTGACCGGTCATTGTGTGAACAGGTCCTACATGGTACATCAACACTCCCTAGGGATCCAAGTACCTTCTCAGAAGGCACTTGGACCCTGAAAATCTACATAAGAGTGTCTCCAATCACCTCCTGAGAAGGTACTTGGATCCCCAGGGACTACGTAGTGTGGAGGCCATCGCTTGTTCTTTTGCCATCAACACGTTCGTGTGGCCCCCTTTTTTGAACATGAAATCCCAAAGACTCAAAGCAAGACGTACTGCCTCTTTTCCTTTCCCGCCTCCAATTAGTATTTTAAACTGTTGTATGGTCCGGTTGAAATGTTGCCCGCCAAGGTCAAGATTACATAGAGAGGCACTGCTGAGGAGGAGCTTCAACTTTCACCTTTATCTTGGGCAATTACAACAGTCAGCATAGTCAGCCTACAATTGGATACAGTTGGAGGTCATCAAATTGACAACAATCAACAAAGGATCTGCTCATCTCCTCCCGAAAGTGTTGATCAGTGTTCGAATGGCCATGTTTAGAGCTGAAAGTGCTCAGACCGACCGAGGCGTACGCAAGAATGTCCCGTTTGGGAAGAATAGAGGGGATATATAGGTTGTTCACCTGGGGGTGTTGTCCCCTCTATTCATCAAACTAGCAAGAATAAAAGGAAATGCTCTGGTTTTCTCCGTCCCGACGGATGCTTTTTGCTCCATCCCTCTCAGCGGCGGATCAGTGGGTTGCTGCGGCTGGGCACCTGGAAACGGAAGGGCACCATGTGGCCGTTGGAATCCAGGGCACAGTGTATTGTCCACATGAATTCATACAATTTAATCATCGAAAACAAGGACTTCGTACAATCATGCGGATCAAAAATTATCCCTGGAACGGACGGAACCACATGATGTGGTCATCCACATCTCCGAAGATGAACTCAAAAGCAATCATTCAATTCAGTCATAGCAGGCCAAGGATCTTGGGGGGATCCCTTTTTCCAAATCAGCCTCATGGGCTCAGGCGGATCCGACCACGAAACTTGGAAAAGGTCTCGGAAGAAAAAGAGTTTCAGCAATCACGAGCAAAAACGGTCACAGAGTCTCAAGCAAGTATGTGTTGTTTTTGAGGAGTCCAGCTTGCCCAAAGAAGCGAATCCTGAACGACCCGTGGGCTTCCAAGTCTGAAGCTCCAAAATTCCAACTCAGGCGAGCACCACTGATGGCTGCTTGAGTGAAAAGATGGCTGAGCCAGCACATGTGATGAAAAGCACCTCAGAATCAGACACCGACTGACCTAAAGATGTCTTTTAGATGGGGTCCAAATGCCGTTTGAATCCTTTTGGGGATTGTGCCATCTACTCTGAAACCACTGTATATGACATGACTGACATGACTGAATAGGTCTCGACTGAGGGAAGACCTATTGGTTCTAATCTGTTCAGTGATTGTCTGTGGCAGGTTGAACGGTGCCGAATGTTGCTGATCATGTTGGAGTTTTGATACTTTTGCATTTTTCAGGCATCCGTGTGAAAAAGGTAATGTTTTGCATGCTGTCCATCAACAGTGGATTGGCAAGAAAGCTGCCACGAGTGTTTATTTCTTGAAGATATTCGTGTAGAAACTGAGCAAGTAGACTCTGTAAACATGCTTCGGCTGGTGTCCCCACGTTGCTCAATGTTTGGACATCTTGAAGTCTTGATGGCAACTAAGTCCCCTCTAGAGAAATCATCTCATCCTATCACTCTCAGGATGTACCACATGTACCAGGCGTTCCGAGGGTCGGTCGATCTCCGGACCTCTGAGCCACGCGCCACGCGTTCCGAACCGCCATCGACGGCTGAAGCGACCGAGCCAAGCGACCAGTACACAGCAAAGAGCTATCACATATTGGTGCGCCTGGCGCGGTTCCGGCGCCAGAGCCATCGCATGAAGGGAGAGCTCCAAACTGACGGATTCACCGACGCCGACACATATCCCAAACTACGAGCTTCAACCATTTTCTCTGGCACCCTGACGATGGACCCATGACTGCGGTGTTCTACCTGGCAAATCTGAGTCGCAAGTTTCGGCGTGGTTACCAAGGTAGAACTAACCAATAAGAAATTAAGACACGTTTGGTGGCCTTGCACCGCTTTCACCCTTCATTCAACTGTCCTATGGGATGCCCAATCTCTTACCAGGGAAAAACAAGACATCTGGAAGTTGGCAGTGGCAGAGAACGAAAATGAGTAATATGTGTTTTTGCCTCAACAACCTTTGGTTCATACCACGTTTGTGTCAAACGAAACCTTGCGCCTCTCGTGCATCTTGAAGAAAGCCTTCTTCCATGCAGTCCGCCAACTGCGCGAGACAAAAACAGGTTGCCACGATGAGTCTGCTGTGACAAGGACAGCGCCATTTGGCCATTTGGAAAGCATATATAGATACAATGCTTATAAAGTTTATACATGCACCCCTTGTGACGTTTCTTTTAGTGGACAACGTGTTCCCCAAATGCATGCGCCTCTTCACCTTGAAAACCGCATTGGCACTGGTATTGGCGTTGTATTCAAATCCGCCAGCATCCGCATCCGCATGATGTAATGTAATGTGAATATGTCGCACGTATCTTGATCACCTGCTGTAGCCTGACCTGACTTCTTCGAAGCTCACGTTCAGATGCTACGTCTCTGGATCATTACTATGTGTATCAATATACAAAGACCATAGGGAGTTAGTGTATATACATATTGTAGTAATATTTATATAGATTTATATAGTATAGATGTCGTTAGTGGATGTTAGTGGATCAAAACGCCATGGACAAACAAAACCTCCAAAACTGTCGTCCCGTCCTGTCAAACACGAAGTCTGCCATGAGGCAGCTCTGGCCAGTCGTCCGTTTTGTCGGCCAGTCAGCCACTGGCCGGTGCTGGCGAACACGGTGAAAGTTGACATCTGATCGTCAATTGAAAGTCGAATGAGCTTGGCATGTGGAACTGGAAGCTAAGCTAAGCCTATAAAGAGGAGGCCCTGCAAGAGATTCCGGACTCATCGATCTTCCGGCTCCGGAAGTCAGAACGGGACTCTTTCTTCCGTCTCCATCGAAGAATCGCCGCTCCGTCACTGACGTTCTCCGGCAACCCAGCCGACGGCAGAGCTGACCGGACCGATGGCCTGAAGTGCTGGCAGCACTGGCCGTGGCTTCACCTCCCTTCGGCCATAGCCTGAAAGAAGGGAGAATCCGAGAGCGAGCGACGGAAAAACCAGACCTGAACCAGCTGTGCAGGAACCAGCAAAATTTGGGGAATTTCCTGATTTCCTGGGGTATTGTGCAGGACACATCTTCTGTATTCCCCAAATTTTCCCATATACCCCAGGAAATCAGGAAATTCACCCAGATAGAGAACATACAAATTCCTCAGGCAAAACCAGGTTCATCAGATGTCGCCCAACTTCCCGGGTCAATGACCTTCAGGTCAATTCCAATCGTCGCCTTTCTGATGGGGCCCTTCTTTTGGCAAAATATGTTGGGTTCTGGCACAAAAGAGTTCATCCTGTAATGCTCCTGAATAATCACCAGGTTGGGGTGATCGAATCAATTGATAAGTGGATTCATCATGGATCATAAATCTGCCAGGACAATCCAATGGGTGTTCAATGGACTACCCCTACACTACACTACTTAGAGATGTCCATTGGACACCCATTATTGGATGGTCCAGGTGTGTTGTCTTGCGTTTCTCCAGCACTTCATCCGAGGTTTAATCAAGGGACAAACCTTGATGCACTCTTGGAAGTGGTATCGAAATCGTATGCCTAGCAGCATCCACCATCTAGTCATTGATGCTTGTTTCATCATCAGGCATCCATCCACCAGAATAGATCTGCAAAGTGGGTTCAGGTGAAAAAAACATCATTCATGAGGTTCAAGTACTTATTGATACTCACACAACGTTCTGATTGAAGTCATGTTCAAGAGCACTGTCTAGTTGAGGGAGACTCTAGATGTTCCACGCACAGTGCGTGGTCCACACATGATGTGGCATCAGTGGAGTGCATCGCAAAATGTTAAGCGGAGTGCAGAAGGATGATCCTCAGCCTTCCAAAAAGATGACAGGCAGCTGAAAACCAGCTCCAGGACAGACGGATGCACAATCCTGGTGGCAAACAATCCCTTTTTGCAGACTACTTTACCGCTTTTCAGTGGTGAACACAAACTTTTTGGCATGTGATTTTGCCTTAACTTCTGTTGACATCTTTTGTATTTGTGTTGCTGCTTTTTAATTACATTATTTTGGCTTCACTGCATGAACACCAATGTTGCAGTAACTCTGTTGCCGGTAATCATGCAATATGGGGTGTCTGCTTGCGCACGTCCCACTACAAGTGTCATGCATGGCGCTGTTTCCCGAAAAAAATCCCGTCAGTGGTGAACGGGTTCCCTCCATTCTTCAGTCGCTCCGCCGAAGTCTTGGGGGCACACCGACATCATCCAGCATGGCCTCGGCTCTGGTTGGCGATGTGGTCTGCCTTTTGGCCCCCCAGTGCCCCCGGTTTCTTCTCGGTCGTTCAAGGCTTTCCGCGGTGAAGTCGCTTGCAGCAGAATCGGATGCTAGCACAGGAAGTATAGGGCAACTCTGGATCGGGTGAGCATTGGATACCCTGAGGATTGGATGCTACCTTGCAGATTGGATGTCCCGATGCCTTTAACCAATCCCTCTCCATAACAGGGTGTTATTTGATTTTGGCTCTTTGATCAATTCTTCGTTGCTTGTTTTCCCAATATTGAAAAAAAAACACATGTTTCCTGTCTGGACAGATCCAGGTTGGTTTCCTTGATTCCGGAATGAGATCACCTTAACCATGGACGGTTCACCGAGCGTTCACCGAGCGTCGTCAGCAAAACAAAGAGGACACCGCACGGAAACCCCACGGTGGAGGGTGGGTGGGAGCCCGACATGGAACTGCAAACAGGAAATGACTCGATGAACATTTTAGTGCTGAGGGACTGGGTCCTTCGTTCAGCTTAGCAATGTTGGATTGTATCAATGATTGTATGTTGGGTCCACCTCCCTGCTATGCAGGGTCAAAACGCTCCATAGAAGGGTCGAATGATGGTTGGGACAGAATGATTTGGGGGTGCCCAATCAGTTCTATTGCAGGTCACCTGCTCATCCCAACGGGAAATGCAGCCAGAATTCGCAGAAGATCCTGGTTGATAAACTAGTACAGTTATATAAAATATTGTAAAAATGAATGTTTGGAGAGAGAAGTGACATCTCTCGATGCTAGTTTCTGCTATGCATGATGGAGAATCTCTTAAAGATTCATCCTAGTTTCCTCAGACTGCAAGAACCAACCATATGTCTTCTGGATGTGTGATAGTGTGTGGGCAACACCCCACACCACATGAAGGGAGGGTCAAAACAAGTCGCCGCTTCGTGAGTGGATTTGCTCCAAATTCCTTCCCCTCAGCAAAAACTATCCAAAACTATTAATTCAAGCTCCAGTCCCGGAAATCCTCGGGCCCCCAACGCCCTCAGCTGGCTTGTCTCGAAAACCTGAAGGCGCGACCCGGTCGCAAGGGCACGGGCGGTACTCGCGAGCGAAAGCGCGGGCCCTGTGGGCCACCTGTGGGCCACCTGGACTAGTACGAAAAGACCATCCAAGCGAAATAAAGCCCTTATAACGTACCCAGTGGGTCAACGCACCAGTTTAACCAGTTCTTTAGCAACGCACCAGTTTAACCGGTGCTTTAGCAAAACTGGGGCTGGAAGCTTAAAAAGGCCGTGAAAAACACGTGAAAAGGACGTGAAAAGCCCGTGAAAACAGGGTGAAAGGCCGTGAAAAACCTGTGAAAATTAGGTCTTGGAAGTTGGGAGGTGAAATGCGTCCTTTATGCTAACGCACCAGTTTAACCCGTCCTTTGGACTTGCTGGGGTATACACCCCGAGGCTCCAACGTTTGCAATAGTTCTCGACATTCACAAATGTGGCAAATATTTCCCACATTAGCTCACAAGTGACATCCGTATGTTCTGAGAACATGCATTCACACGTGACTTTTGGGGGCTTCATTAATTTAGGATCCCACCCACCCTATATTGCAGCACACAGTTTTCCACTCCACCCATCATCGCCGCAAAGGCTGTCCGCTTCGCCCTTGCTCATACGTTTGTAGCCTCAGAGAAGGCGGCCCATCAAGCGGAACTCCAACATCTTCCGGTGGACACGACGTGCTAGGCCTTTTGTCACACCGATCATGTCTTCATCCACGTAGGTGTGAAAGAAACGGCAATTATATTTGCAACGGTGCATGAACAGGTTGAGCTCCTGAAATGCCTCAGCTCACCCATCGATTCATGAGCTGACCTCCACATACCACTCCTGGTTTAAGACAGAAACAGACTTAAAGTCAGCCATGCTACATGAAATTTTGGCTTGAACGGAAACTGCAACAAACCAGCTCGTTGATGCATCAATGCCAATTTGCGATATCGTCGAAGAAACCTGCACTGCACAAACAAGGGGCTGAACATGCAACATTAACATGCCATATCATTATGATTTTTTGTAGATTGCACGATGGCTTCCCATGAGAAAGCTGATCAGGCAAGGAGCTGCTGGGAGGTTTGATAGATCGAGTCAGCTTCAGATCCGGAGAGGTAGCGACCAGCAGATTCCACCAAAAGAAACCACTTGCAAATAGAAGTCAGAGTCCCAAAAATCAGAAGCAATATATCACTGATGGGTCCGTTCGCTTGCGCATGAAGTTTGTTGATCAAGTCCGCTACCTTTGTTTGTAAAAAGCTCGCCATAACTCTTCCTGCGTATGCCTTGATACGCAACTCCGGAAACTCTCCATCCTTCACTAGAAGTAATGCACTGCATATTGGTGTTTGGTAATGCCTTCACAGGGTCCATTATTCTTAACAAACACACTTTTGTGCTCGCTTCACGGCGTTAGGCTGAGGGTCTACCTCATTTAGTAATCTTGCCTCAGTCGGTTGGCCTGACACCACTTGTTGAACTGGTTGGTCATGATTCTCAGCTGATCGCCAAGTGCATCACTTCCTGGGCACAGGTTGTTGCAGAGACCATCGATATTGGATATTGGTACTTCTTACCTATTTGCCTACAAGTCTGTGGCCTATTGATTGCAGCAAAGGGACCAAAAACAGCGAATTCATTCAGCTTGTGAATGGTGCTACCGTTGATCCATTGTAAGATCCCAAGGTTTACAGTGTGCATGCCTGGGCTGCCAGAGGGTTCTAAGAGAAATTATGATTTAGAGCCATGCCCCAGATGACTAGGCCAAACAGTCATCCCAAAATGTTGTTCAATTCGCTAGCAGCAAAGCACTGCAAAACCGGATGAGGTGTGGCGAGAAGCCAATGACCCCCTAGGATTGCTGCACACGTTGCCGTTGCATGGGTTTTGGCATAAAGTTGTATCAGCATTCAAACTAAACAAAACCAAAATGCTTTCTAAATATGGTGGACAGACACACACAGAGGGTTAACATAGGCCCCCAAGCTCTGCAAGTAAAACTGTGGTACTGTCAACCGAGGGAAGCTTTCCATTTGGTCGAAGCGAGTGTACCTTGGTGGGGGCCACAGGCCACTAGCTAGCATCGATGTATCCTTTTGGGCTAGGGGTATGATCAGGAATTTATGAAACACACCATGTATTGCAGTATATAGTGGGCAAGTTGCTGCGAAGGCCCAAACTTGGTCGACGCGCAGCACAAAAAACATAGATTAACACACTTGTAGTGCCTTCGGAGAGCCCAATGCTCCACATGCCATTTCCAATCCCCACGACATTCGGCTAGCGCAAACCGATGCCGTAAGGATGCACCTGCCTTCCTAGCCCTGTGAGCATCAAGTGGTTCCCCAGCTGCCCCACAAGATGGCCATTTGCCGATGTAGGCAGCCTTGGAGTGGTGGCATGCGCAGTCATTCAAAAACATGAAGGCGGGTGAGGACAAAGGGCGTGGTGGAGGGGCTTCAAAAGCCACAGGTCATTGGACTAGACTAGGTGCTACAAAAGAAAACAGGAAATGGCTTTGAACTGTCTAGGCCTAGGGGCATTGAGACTCCAAGCTGTCACACGGAGGATCGGATCTAGCGATTCTGGTCCAACGCTCAACTCTTCACGAAGAACAAAGAATACAAATCGTGTAAGGTCAAGTCCTGAGTAGCTAGATTCGCAAAAGAGAAATCAGGTATTCTACATATAACTGACTTCATAGACTTATTCATAGATTCTCTCTAGACTGCGATGCCAAAGTGTCGCATGGTACGTTGCAAAAGAAAGTTGAGCATCATGACAATGATTTTAGCACCGGCTAGAGTGTAGCGTGCATCATCTCCTGATAGCCCTATTGGGAGATGAACTTTTTCTGAAGTAGCAGGGTGGGAGACCTCAAAATGATTCTCCCAGTGCGACCAGAATGTTTTGACATCATCTGGACTCCAATCGATCTTGTGCTTCTCCTTGGCCAGGCGAAGCATGGTGCCAATTGCAAGGTCAATGCAAGGTGCAGTTTCAATGGGAGCGCCGGGAAGCAAGGGAGCATGGCTTCAGCACAACCCCCAAGAACATGTACTGTAAATGAACTCCAAGGTACTGTGAGATAGCACAGCAGTTCGTGGGGAATCAGCATCGGGACCCGTAAAGTGGTTCTGGCATGCTTGTCTACTGACTCCAAATCCTTGATGGGAATCTCAACAAAATGAAGGGCCTTGGCTGGAGATCCCGGTCTAGACCAGGCCAGTACTAGTGATACCGATCACAAACCAATCACACGTGTTGTCCTACATTTACAAAAGGTTGAAACACACAAAATCAGATCAATTAAGTTACTATTGGAAGCTTCAAGATGTTCAGCAAATCTCTCTCTGCATTGTTCGGGTGCCTTCCGTGGCAACCAATGCCACTGATTCTCTTTGTGAGCTCACTGCAGTGCCCGTTGCTCTCCTTGTGGGGAAGCACAAAGGCAGAATAGGGTCTAAGCTACAGGGAAAATGCACTAGCGTGCAAGCACAAATAAAAGTACTGGTGCATACTGGCACCCATCAATGCATGATCCAGTTCACTGGTGATGAAATCAAAGGAACTGCAGCTAAGCATCAGTGACCATAGCGGTGGCATATCGTTGAAGGCCCGCAACTGAAGATGCCTTATTCCAATTTAAATGCAAACACGGAAGGCTTGGCAATGCGAAGCTCAGAACCTAGACAGCCAATAAATAGATTTTGTCCAAGCTACACCGCGGCCTAATGTAGAAAGCAGGTGCTCGGCAAAGGTCGTATCTGCGAAGGGGCCGTTGCAAACATCATGGGCACTTTTTAGCACAACAGGTGTGCAAAAATCCTAGTACCAGCACACAAGCGTTTTTATCCTTGAGATCTCGCAAGTATCGGTACCGGTGGCATCGCACTACCGTGTAGCCAAATTGTCTCACCACGCACCCCAAATCAATGCTATTAATGCATTGAACACCGCGTTGCCCCAGGATTGTGACAAGAGGGCCGCCAGTATACTAGCATTTCAGACCAACTAGGGTTGAATGGTAGCAGCTATTGAAAAGTGTGTTTATTCTTTATTTTGTTGTCCCATCTTGTCCCCAGGACTGTAGTGAGTCACGGCATACAACCTATGTAGCTAGCCTACACCACCATAGTCATCTCCAAAATTCGAAAACGCGCCAGGCGATGTCCGCTGCTGGCAGTCATCATTTGGCCTTAGCCTTAGCTCCACCCTTGGCCTTGGCCGTCGATGCCTTTGGCACCAACTTCTTCACACTGGCGGCAGCTGATTTGTAAGATGTGATAGGCGCTATCAGCGCTTGGGTCAAAGGAACCAAGGCATCACCCTCAATTCCTGTTGATAGCGCATCCTGGCAATTTATCAAAGAAAACAATATTGTAATATAATCAAGATGACAATAACTTTATAGACTTGGTCAAACATAGCCTCGAGATTCGATCGTGCAGACTCGAGGGCCGTGATGTGTTTCTCCATGTCATCTGACGCACACTTCCGCATACCTTCCGGCCTGAGGTGCGGACAGATCGATGGGCAGTTCTCTCAAGTTAGCAGAAGTTGGGAGGCTCAGATCCTGGCACACCTGCCTTCTGCAGCACCGCGCCCCAACCTTATCATAAAACAATACCAGGTACGGTGCACAATCAAGTGAATGGTTTAAAAAGAAATGTAAACACGTCTTTGTGGCTAGCCGCTTTTGCCTTCAAGGATGAGGGTCGCAGCAGTATTCATAGCCTCAACAGACTTGGGCATACATATAGGACCCATAACCATTCCCGCATTATGGTTAAAGATGCAAAATTACAAACCTGCATGCATGTCAAGAAGCAGATTTGGCTTCTTGCTCAGGTGTCTTTGCTTTGGGTGGTTTGGTCGGTTTGGATGGTTTGGGTTCCGACTTTGGGAGTTTTTCTGGGACTGCACCAGGAGCGTTTCCGGGTCCCGCAGGTCGTGAAGGTGCACCACCGCCTGAAGAGTCCACGTGCGACTTCGAAGGCGGCTCAAGAAGC